GACTAATATGAAGCTTTGTCCCAGACATGCCCATCTCAAGCATCTTCGACACGTGTAGGTCATCACCTCTCCTTAGAGAGAGACCATTTGCATCAACACAGAAGGTCCTACTCAACAGAATGCCATAGACTATAGTCAACTGCCAAATAAGTGAATGGCTGTCATCACTCACTAGTCTTAAAATGCTTGAAAGAGCAGTTACATGACTGGCTTGATAGTGTGCTGGATTTCCAATGGACACAACTAAAATGTTCATGAATGAATGAATAGCTAAGTTACAGCCAGTCCTTTCAATGGAATTCTGTGGAGTACATAAAAAGCCAAGTTAAATTGGGATGGGTATGGCCCTCATGCCTCACTGGACAACGACAGTGGGACCAGAGTCATTACAAGGTCCCCTTCAGGTACTGGAGGTCAGGCCTCTATCCCTGCCTTCGCAAAATTAGAATCACCACAGCCCTTCTATACTTAGAAAAGGGAGGAGATGTCAGGGGCAGCCCTGCTTATACATTGAAGGTCTAAAATCAGCCATAGGCCTAAAATCAGCAATACATGTATACTAACACCAAGTCTTGAGTCTCTGTGGAAAAACACTGAAACAGATGGCTATAAGCTATTGTAAACAGGCAGCTTTTGTGGAAATTTACCAGCCTGAGTAGTCATAAACCTTATAAATAGGTAGCTTTGGTGGATAATACCAACTTAGATAAGGACAAATGAATCATAGGCAGAGTCATAGTGACCTGTCCCCTGAACCTTCACCTAGCCGATGCCCTGTTCTGAAAGATATCTGTATTCCCCCTGAACTCCCACGCTCCAGTGTCATCCCCTTCCCCACATCCTGCCTTTTCGTGTTTATAACCCTTGTGTAAATAAGTAAAAATTACAATTTGAAAAAATAAATAAATAAAATTTTTTTAAAAAGCCAAGTTAAATCAACACATATAAGCATACAAATACCAATGATCCAATACTGTTGGAAGAAACTAGGTGGGCCTAAAAATTAAACAAAGCACTCACTGATACTGCAATCTAGACCAAAGACTACAGCCTATCTCCAAAATTTATAGATACATCAAAAAATACACTAAATATTAAAGTTACTCCAAGGGTGAAATCCAAAGATGGGAGTTTGGGTATTTATATACTGTCTTTATGGAGGTGGGGAGATAGCTGGGGTATTCATATACTTTCTTTGTAAGTGAGATTTGGGGTGTTCATATATTTCCTTTACCAAGATGACAGTGACAACAGGACTCATCATCATGTCGGTAGTTTTCAAGTGCCATCAAAAGTGCTGAATACTGCAAAACATTACATATAAAACTTCTTATCCAAAGATGCTAGGCTAGACAGGATGTAAAAATAGTCCGTATTATGATTCACTACTTCCTTTAGAAGAAGTTTCAAGCCCACGGAGACAAAGATAGCTGTTATCTTCAACAGTTAGTTAGGATAAGTCAGTTCTCTGTCAAGCTAAAACTAGTTTGTGGCCAGCCTGTGAAGGAAAGTGAAAATATTTTTTGTAAACTTTCAGGAGGGCATACACATAGCAGGGTTTCATAGAAAAAAAATGGTATGGAGGAAAACAAAACCATGTAGGATATGTGAAGTACAGAGCTTCAGTAAGTCAGCCTTGTGTCCTGGGGATGAGAACAATGATCCTGGAGCAGAGAAGGGTGGAAATCAATTTGTTCTGGGTTGGCTAAGGCAGAGGACACTTAAACGAAGTAAGATCTTGGAAGCTTTCTTGAGCATGAAACAGAATCTGAAGCTCATTTTACAGACTGGTTGCTTAAGTGTGGTGTTAGCACAGGAGTCACAGGTTGACTCCGATAAAATGTACATTGGTCCCTAGAGTGTGGAATTAACAAGTGTGAGTTGGGAAAAAGTGAATCTGTGTGAGGGACAGAAGAAGAGAGAACACACAGGACTTGAAATAGTACAGGAAAAAGATAAATACTCTCAATGCTCCTGGCTGAGAAAGAGAAATTTGGTGAGTTTATAAGTTTTAATATGCTTGTTGATGCTCTGAGAAATTCTTATAATGCATTTTCATTATATTTACCAACAGTCCACACTGTTACTGTCCTAGGTTCATCCCCAACCTTCCTACAAGCTTGCAACTTTGTATCCACTTGTTACTGTTACTTAAAGCTCACTGATTGCTGCTTGTACTGCCCATATACACTCTCAATGTGAGCCCATCCACTGGAGATGGTGGACCAACCATCCAGCTCCTTCTTCTGAAAACGTTCTCTCCCTCCCCGAGGAAGCCATCAACTGTTAAGAGCTCTTCCTCAGGTAAAGGTGGAGGTTGCTGAGTCCCTCCTGAGTCCCTGCTAGAATGTTGACTGTCTTGATCCTGTTCAGGCAACCATAGTTGCTCTGATTTGAGTGCAAAGGCCCTGTCACATCCAGAAGGCATTCTTTGGCTTCTTGCTCCCTGACCTCTGGCTCTCACAACCTCCCCTCTCCCTCTTTCACAGTGTTCCTTGGGCCTTGGGGTAGGGTTGGGGGTCTGGATGTCATATAGGTTAGTGGAACACTCTTCTGACTGACAATCAAAGTGCAGTGACTGACTCTCTGTGTTGAGTACAGTATACTGTGAAGTGTCTGCTTGTTTTTGTTGTCGCTTTAAATGTTAAAGATTCTTATCTCCTTTTTACTGGTCTACAGTCCTTGGTCAATAAGCTACAGAATGCTAAAGAAGAAAAACTTTCTGTAGACAGCAGTGAAAGCTCCTTGATGTAACATGAGGTTATTCACCTCGTCACATGCCGTACTATGTGAAGATTCACATCCCACCCTACAGAAATGGTACAACCTATGATTCTCGGGCTGCACATGAACTGGGTCTGTTAGGTAATAGACAAGGTATTTACTATCTTACCCTTTTAATCTGACCCTGTGTTTTCTAGTAAGGAACTGTAAAGAGGATAGGTTCCCTTGCACTTTCCCCCTCTAAAGGTGGCTGACAGGCTAAACATACAACAGTGACCACCCAGTGCATGAATGTAGGACATCTCTGTGTTTGAGGGTGAGGACTGGAGTCAGTTATTTACGATGACTGCAATAAGATGTGACATTAAGAATCTGATTGTTAGTGTCTTCACTGCTGACCTTCAGACAGCCATCTAAAGGGCTCCTGAGCTTGCAATGGTCAGATTCATGGAGCCTCCAGACAACGGTAGAGGGAGTACTATATAGCTCTTCCTCTGGGGTATGAAAGCTGTTCCTAACAAGGTGCCTGCTACAGAGCCCTGGGAATCAGAATCAGTCCCTGGCCTCCACCTCCAACCCTCAATGGTCATTGCTCTTACAAACGTGCTCTCTTTCTCTCATACACAAGCTATCAGCACATACTCTATCTACTATGGGACTTGAAGACAATCAGGGAGTAATAAACGATCCCAAACTATTGTCAGGAAACTTGCTCCAAAGGTGATTCATAACTGTTTCTTAACACGATAAAGTAGGGGCTGGAAACGTGGCTCACTGGTTAAAAGTACTTGTAGATCTTGTAGAGAGGACCAAAGTTCATGTATATGTACATGTACATATATATGTGTGTGTGTGTGTGTGTGTGTGTGTGTGTGTGTGTGTGTGTGTGTGTGT